GGCTATATATATATATATGGAAGACTTAAGCTTAAAATACTGAACCCTAAATTAAAAAAAATAACATTAATAATTATTAATATTATTTTATTATTTAGGGTTCAGTATTTTAAGCTTAAGTCTTTCATATAATATTAATATTGTTTTATTATTGTTATATTATTATTTTATTTCAGTTTTATTTTAATTACAGATAATAGTTTTATTTAACAATAACAAAACTGATTCACTTCAATTGTAAGTACCACACTGTATGTATGTATATATATATATATATTTTTTTTTTTTGGTAACTAAAATTATGGCCCAAATGCTGTCGACTTGAGTTTAACTTGAACAGAACCTGGAATATTCCTTTAACAGCCATTTTCTAGCAGAGAGGTTCCAGTAATAACAATAATTACCCGTCTCTGTAATCATTATGTTGTCATTGTGACGATCACCGATGCCCAGGACATAAGTTGCCACGCAATACCCTCCACAGGAGAACACAAAGCGTTCAACAGCCTGCTGGTGCTGAAGAGGTGGTGTGGGATGGAAAAATGCACAAACATATCACCAATGCCTGACCTTTTTCACATTTGCATCAAGCAAACACAGGCATGCAAACAAGCAAACATCTGACGTATGACCTAACCCCCTTATCAGAAGCTGAACTTACACGAGTACACGAGTGTTTAAAAATAGCACACTGGATGTGTGTAGGTGCTGTGTTTGGTCTCCACAAAGGCAAACTCCCCCAAACAAAGACTCTAATGCACCAGGAAGTGAGAGGTTTCCTTCCTCTTTAGCACATACAACAGTATAAATGGAAATAACATACCTTATCCTCATTCACACACTTTTCACGAAGCCACTGGCTGAGGATCTCATCTTTAAAAGCTCCGGTGTTCCCGACAGTACTTTGCTGAATGTTAGCAATAGTAGTGGCATCCTTCACTATTTCAATCATTCCTAGCAGAGGAACATGAGGAATTCCCCATGTTATTTGACTCAAAGCAGTTACTTTTTATTGCTTAATAACTTTTAAGAAACACATCAACCACCATTACCAATTTTATTTCCAGTGGAAATACATCCATATGGTAACAAGGAAAGATCCAAAGACTCCAGTTCCCAGATAGACTCCATTATCAGTAAAATCTGAGAGAACCAATGGTCTATTTGAGAGACAGCACTGATAATGTTGGTCATGACTACTAGCATGCATTTAAATGATGTCTACTTGTAATATCAGCATGTCCTGACGAAGGTCATCCCCGTCTTTAAAGATGATCCCAATTGTGTCACTCGACAAGGTGGTGGGGTCGGCTCGTTTGAACTGCAGCCACAAGGGTTTCTTCTTGGATGCCATCACTTTGCATTGTTCAATCTACAATTCATAATATGGTGCAATAATTAATGGGTGCATTATCCAGGACTATTGATTAAAAAAAGTGTCTTCTAGAGGATTCTTTTAGAGGCTATTAAAGGAATATTCATGGTTAGGCTCAACTGACAACACTAGTGTTTATTACCAAAATTATTAATTTCCACTCATCCCAGTAAGACACAGTGAAAGTCAATGGGGCCAATTGTTTAGCCTTTGAATTAAGATAATTTTTCTTACCCCATTGGCAGATAGTTTTGCTTGTTTTAAGCAAAAAATAACATTTTGATATTTTTCTCAGAAAACAAGACATAATATCTTAAGTCATTTTGCTTGTCAAGTAAATGCATCTTGATTCAAGAATGTTTAGATATTTATACTAGAAAACAAGAAAATCTTTTTTTGGTGTGCCGTATGGTTTTACGTACCACAAGCGCCCCTGCCCGTAGGCCTGGGTCATAAGGCACTTTAAAGCTGTCTGGCAACCCTGAAGTCTGCAGACCTTCCAGTTTCTGACGCAGCTGAAAAACAACTACATTGTTCCCACAACATTAGATATGTACTGCATTTGCCTATTGCAATACGCTAGGGACAAACACTGCCTGTAGTTATCACCTTGTGCTGACACGTCATACTTTTCAGCAGACATTTGCTTAATCTCACGAGTGACTTTGTGCAAGGCCTCTGTCATCTCCACCTGCTTCCTGAAGTCCTGCAGCATGGCTTCACCACAGCCACGGAGGTAAGCTTCAAGTATTACGGCATACCTCTGCTGATAGTGCATGGATTGAGCGATTTCGCTACGCAGGAACCAGAACAAGAAATGGCCGATCCGCTTGCTCTGTGAAGGAGTCACAGGAGTTAAACCCGGAAACTCTTTAAAAACATACAAACTGACTGTAGACGAGGGATGAGGTTCTGACTTACTCTGAGCGCACGTTTGAGAAGAAACCTGGCGAGTGCGCTGTCATGGTACGGTTCAAATTTTACAGCCTACAAAACAAATAAGCAGCAACAAAGATTAATATTCTTTGGCTGATGATACACCAACTTTTTGAGCAATTTTGCCAGGCAACTTTTTTGAGCAATATTTCTTGGGCACTTTTCCATTGAGAATGGGTAACAAATTTCTATCTGGATATTTTAGATCGGTCGTGGGTCCTGTCTCACCTGGTTGCCGTTGATGGCAGCATTGCCCAAAGTTGCCCGGCAACATTGCTCAAAAAGTTGCTCCGTGTATCATCAGCCTTTGACTTGCACAGAAATGTCCCATTACATGGTTCATTTTATGTAAATGTTTGCATGCTGATTTTAATAGCCAGCTGAAGTTTCTTTGTTAATGTTGAGTTGTTATGTCTGAGCAGTTATGCAGAAGCAACCACAGTGTGTTGTAAATACCCGAGCCTCACCTGAACAAGCTGCAGGAGGTACCGCAGGACATCGTCACCTGCCAGAGTCTCCAACTTCCGGACGGCCATAGTGCGCACATTTTCATCAGAGAAGTGGCAGTCCATTAACTGTAAAGCCAAACCAACATCTAGCGAGCTTCGGTCCCAAACGGTGCTCCTTTCAAGAAGACGGTGCGTTATCGTTACAGCCTCTTGTTTGCCCCACTTAACTGAGGAAAGAAACTTCGGATAGGCTTTGGGATCCTTCATGCACTCTTGCCGGAAGTGCCAAAGCAATTCTTTATCTTCGGAGCTGAGCGGATGCAAAGGGTCGGTAGCAATTATCTGCTCAAACTGTTTACGCATATGGTTGGGCATCTCTCTTTGCCCTCGCTCCCCTTCCATTTCCGAGTCCGGAGAATCCTTGCTTTTGGGAAGAGCCACAGGGTAGCAGTACTGGTCCAGGAGAATGGCAACAGCCATGGAGCTGTTCTTGTCCGGGTTGGTTGCGGACGTGAGTTTGTCTGCGTTAACGCTGCTGTTGTCTTCACTCTTCTCAGGCATCTTCCACATGTGCAAGATGAACTCGCCCTGCCTGAGCAGGGAGCGGTGGTCCACCATTAGCAGGTTGACATAGTATAGCAAGCGGCTCTTGTTTTTGCATTCGTTTTCCTTGGACGTTTGAGTCTGCGCTTTTCCACACGACACCTGCAGGCTAAGTCGGGCACCTTTGGGTAAGTCCTTGATCTTTATGTTGAACTCCAACCAGGTGTTCCAGAGCACCTCCTCTGTGAAGGGTTTGGAAGTTGTCCTTTCTTGGGCCAGCAGCTGTTGTCCGTGGAAAATACTGGCTTCTACAAACACAATCAACTCGGAATTGCGTGGCAGCACTGGTATGTCAATCCCCAAGATCTTCACCCTGAATTTACGATTGCAGTCCCAAAGGGAGATGGTAAACACCTTCTCGTGGTCTTTCTCAGTGATGGTCAGTTGTTCATGAGTACCAGCGACACCGGTGCAGTCATCGACCTGAGACCAGTCCTCTTTTTGGACCACGTCTTGTTCTGGGTCTGGAGGACGCTCTAAAACCAGATGGATCTCTTCACCATTTTTAAGACACTGTCTGATCCAGTGGAAATCTTTGATTGCGTAGTTGCCATATAGGTATTCCTCTCTTCCACAAACCCTCAAGACAAAATCGGATTCGCTGACGTCTTCAGATATGCCTAAAATTGCTCGCTTATTTGTTATCTTGGCAAAGAAGCTCTGAAGAACCTGGACAGGTGTGTCATCTATAGACACCTTAATAGTCTGGCTTGTTGTGTCCTTGTGTATCACTACCAGGATGTGATTGTTGCTTATTTTGCTCAGCAGGTATTCAGGAAGAGGCTTTGTGGTCATCCATGGATCCATCGAGTAGAGTTTGGGATCTCGATCAGACAGCTCAATTTTCCGAGGGGTCAGTAGCTTTCTTCGCGTGAACTCCAGTTCGTCGTCGTGGACGTTGCTGACATCTGTAACATCATATCCGATTAGGTGGTTCAGAAACCGTTGATATTGAAGCGAATCCTCAGTAGGCTGCGTTCTAACAACCAGGTGAATCTTCCCGACCTCTTTTCTCAATGCTTTCCAATATCTGATACAGTCAAGGGTTTGGAATACCTGCTGCTTGTCGTAGATCTCATACCAGAGTTGTTTACTTGTCAGCAACACAAAAACTGATGCAAGCAAAGTTTTAAGATCTAATTAAAGTTTTAAAGTCCGTGTTATTCGCCCAGTATGTCAAACTTTCACTTTGTTACTTGTGCAATAGTGTCCTCTAGTGGCGTGTTAGAGGCACACATTAATAATTTAGATTTACAGCTCATCTACACATATATGGGTTAGGGATAGGTTAGGCTATTTGTATGATAGAAATGGCAAGTATTGTAGAATATTTTTAAATCGTCTTTAGACAAGATTATGCAATTGCTTTATTATGCAAGATTTTGGAATATATATATATATATATATCATTTCTAACTTAATTTAATATAATGTATTTATTTAATGTAAATAAAGGTTATTTAACGTAAAGGTGCTTTAAAGCCTCTGACCGTCCAATCGGCTGTGAATGTCAGCTCAGCAACTATTTAGCCATATAAGCATGACATTGTAAGATTTCAGAATCATTGGTGGTCCGGAGAGTATTTTTGGTAAAATTCAGGGCATAATTTAGTGGTTACTGCTCTGTGCCAAATCTGAACCTTCACCTGCTCTACCGTCCAATTGCCAGTCACGTCTATATGCAATGTGTCTGGGTTCCTGCTGTTTTTATTGGTGGTGGGAAGTACAAACTCTACAGCTATATGATCTGTCGATACAGCTGAGGTAGATGTAAATGCTTTCATCTTTCTTCTTCTCCTCTTGTTTTCCTCTCTACGTACTACTGGTGGTTCATCATCACTGGCTTGGTGTTCCATAACCAATGCTAAATTTGTAAACACAAAGGACTAGGGCTGGTTATTTTCATGCACATATATTAAAAACCACCATAGATCACCATCACAATGTTTTGACAATGAATGATTTATAGTCTAACTATTAACCCCGCCCCCATCCTGAATATTTGGCAATGAATGAGTGAATAAACAATAATAAAAAAATCTATAAATATTACAATTCATTGATTAGACCTTAAGTATCTATCTCAAAAAATAAAAAAAATAAAAAAAAATCCATAATTGCACAGGACTCCATCAACACCAGCTTTTAAAATAGCAGGTGAACATGAAAATATGCTTCTGGAGAAATGCGCACACCAAATATTACTTTTTTATTTATTGAGACATTTCTAGATATATTCTAGTTGTTACCGTGTTACATTATCTAACACACCATTTAATACGAGTTAACGTTCACTTTATGCAAAGGAAGTCACCAAAGCAGGAAGCACAAATGTGCTAAACCCTTCAAGCAACAATAACAATCTTTAAAAAGGCAGAAAAGTTCGCAAATAACGCAAAACGAATGTCACTGCAATCAATTTGTTTCCTACACCGATCAGTTTGCTAGCGGAAACTCTGAAAGAAATATTTCCATGTTGTAGAAACACACAGCAAATGCGGAAGTTTCTTAAATTAATGACACTCTGAAAAGTGTTATATTTAAAAACACAAGTACTTTATCTATGGCGCAACGTCACTGTTGCACAAATTAATAAGACAAACTGATTATAACACTGACAGATCATAAGTAACGGTTTTGCCGGAAGATTGCCGTAAAAAAGCGGAAAAATAATAAAACTCACCGTTCAACAAACGCAGAGCCAATGACCCTGAAGGCGGTCGGGTAAATGCTTATACATGGATGCAGTGAAACTCAGTACAGACCACATGGAAATAAAACGCTCTTATTCCAGCAGTTATTACTCCAAAATAAAGGCGATCAGTCACAGAAGCGCGTTTCTCCTCCTCTCACCGTCTGATCACGCATGACGGATTCCGCTGCTGCTCCCATTGGCCGGACACATTGGGTCATTGTCTACACCGAAGAATCCCTAGTAGGATATATATTTTTAATATGCAAATATGTTTTGCATAGACTATAAGGGTTTTAGATTTTATAACGATACGGATTTAAAATGCAAAGTGTATTATGAATTTTAAATCAGGTATTTTCCAGTTCATGCACTCAAGAATCGAGGCACTGGCCCTGATCTTGCGTTATCATTTTTTTATAATGCATTGACGCATTATTTGGACTGGATTTTCAATAACAACCCCTCAACTTTATTTTTTTATTTTTTTTATTTTATAATATATTCTTATTAGTCAAATTGCAAAAGGATATATAAGGTTATTTAACGTAAAGGTGCTTTAAAGCCTCTGACCGTCCAATCGGCTGTGAATGTCAGCTCAGCAACTATTTAGCCATATAAGCATGACATTGTAAGATTTCAGAATCATTGCATAACACTCCATATGCGTTTCCTTGCTATTGCAGCGCATGACAGAAGTTCCTAAACGTATTACTTTATGTCTGTAACCAACAAAAACAGCAGACTGCTAATTTATTACTTAGGTCAATGTGTTTTTATCCTAGATTAGAAAATGTAATATTTAATTGCCCCTCTGGCTCCTCCTCTGTCCATTATAAGTAACTGCACTCACTGATCTGTAGAACCAATAGTAACAGACGTCACTTACAGTGCCTTTCGCGCAGCCAATCAGAGAGCGGCTACAGCAGCTTGCGGCGGTGGGCCTTGTCTTGACGTCATTGTCAGCTCAGCCAGGGATTGGTCAGACCTTCCCATTAAAGACATACACAAGCCTTGATAAATCATTTTATTTACTAAATTTAAAGTTTTGAAGAGACACTCACAGACCCATTGAGCTTTGTAGTTAAGTTTATAGCTTTATAGTTATATGAGACCCTGGAGCACAAAAGCAGTCATAAGTAGCACGAGTATATTTGAAGCAACAGCCAACAATACATTGTATGGGTCAAAATGATTGATTTTTCTTTTATGCCAAAAATCATTAGGATATTAAGTAAGGATTATGTTCCATGAAGATATGTTGTAAATTTCCAACCGTAAATATATCAAAACTTCATTTTTGATTAATAATATGCGTTGCTAAGAACTTCATTTAGCGATTTTTTCAATATTTTGATTTTTTTGCACCCTCAGATTCCATATTTTTGAATAGTTGTATCTCGGCCAAATATTGTCTCATCCTAACAAACCATACATCAATGGAAAGCTTATTTATTCAGCGTTCAGGTGATGTAGTTCCATGAAGATATGTTGTAAATTTCCAACCGTAAATATATCAAAACTTCATTTTTGATTAATAATATGCGTTGCTAAGAACTTCATTTAGCGATTTTTTCAATATTTTGATTTTTTTGCACCCTCAGATTCCATATTTTTGAATAGTTGTATCTCGGCCAAATATTGTCTCATCCTAACAAACCATACATCAATGGAAAGCTTATTTATTCAGCGTTCAGGTGATGTATATATATCTAAATTAAAAAACCCTTACTGTGGTCCAGGGTCACATATAGTTGTAAACCTTATAGCTTTTTCGATAAACCAAGACTATCCCACTGAAACGACAGTCACTAAAACAAACTTAAAATTAAATTGCATAGGGTGGGGCAACAGTCCAGAGAATGTTTTATTGTCTTTGACCATCTTTATTTATTAATGTAATATTTACTACATATTAAATAAGTAAAAATTATTAAATCATAAAATTATATACTCTTGAAAGAGGATTATTGTCATAAAATTATACATTTAATCTTCTACTACCTTACTACCTCAACAATGGTAGTGTCCTGAAAAGAAATTCTCAAATAAAACATTAAGAATAAATAAAAAAGTTCAAATACAATCAAAAACAATTTCAAAACAATAAATGTCTTTTCAACATATAATCATAAACTGCATTACAGGATAAATACAATCAAGAATTTATATGGCACCCCTTGTAAATAAAATGCAAACTAAAGGGGTTAAATAAGAAAAAAAAACTTTAAAAAATCCATTCATAATGATATAATATACAATTATATTCTTTAAAAAAATAGTAAAGCAAAACAAAAAATTAAGAACTTACTAATAAAAACAAATGATCAGAATAATTTAATACATTTCTCTAAGACTTTCTGTTTCATCCATTCACTTTACCGTAAGCGCCACACCTCGCCCCCTACGTCTAAGTTACCTTATCCCGATTGGCCAGTCCACCCCATTCGGTCCCGCCCATTCTGATTCCGTCATCACCCTCCTCAGCGACGGGGGTTGGTTGAGAGTCCGCGTGGCGGAGTAAAAATCCATTCATAATGATATAATATACAATTATATTCTTTAAAAAAATAGTAAAGCAAAACAAAAAACTAAGAACTTTCTAATAAAAACAAATGATCAGAATAATTTAATACATTTCTCTAAGACTTTCTGTTTCATCCATTCACTTTCCCGTGAGCGCCACACCTCGCCCCCTACGTCTAAGTTACCTTATCCCGATTGGCCAGTCCACCCCATTCGGTCCCGCCCATTCTGATTCCGTCATCACCCTCCTCAGCGACGGGGGTTGGTTGAGAGTCCGCGTGGCGGAGAGGGAACAACAGAGCTGACAGCAGCGCGCGACTCCAGTCACGTCAAGGGGAAGATGGAGCAGCACACAGGCGCCGCGGAGTTCAACATCTTGTTAGCTACTGACTCCTACAAGGTGAGCAGAGAGCGGCAGAGAGCCACAGCCGGGCCCGGTGTGCTGTTGTATGCCGGCGAACCTGTGAGTGAGAGGAAAATGAGGGAAAGAGAACGAGGAATGAAGGTGGTTTCATCCTTCAGGCCGTTAACGGTTGAGTCGGTGTCAGTCAGGTCGGTAACGTTAGGCCGAGTGTGTGTGAGGAGAAACGACAGGTACATCTTCATCTTTATTCCTCTTTAGTAGATTATGTGTGTTTATGTCGGTAATAACGGATTACGAGTGTGAATTACACCTAAAGGGCAAGAGGCGCGGGTTCTGAGGGGGATTTCTCTTCAGAAGCAAAACTGAAAGCACTTGGAAATGAGGAAATGAATGTAACTTACTGCACAACGGAATCCGATAAAGTTAATCAGCATTCAGTGTTTCGCTTATTTAAGCGATGTAATATAACGAAGAGATATGATTTTGACTGATAGCTGTGCAGCTAACCTACTACTAGACCTAGCCAATTAGTAATAGTCACCGGTATGACTAAATTTTTTGAAATTGCTGACATGTTCTGTCCGTTGGGATTTCAAAATTGATCCTAAAATACATTAGATTATTGGAGTGAAAAAAAAAATCAAGTTTCAAAATGCAACACATTTAGTGTTATTGTACTGTAAAACAATGAAATGTGATATATGATTTTTTTACATGCATAAATTAAATTGGACCGCACTGTACATTCTAATGTAAAGCATATTGAAATGAAGTATGTACTCTGTGTAGTGCATACATAGGTCCTTATGTGAAGTCTAACACGGTTATAAAACAAAATTAGTCATTAGAAAAACTGACATTAAGCTACAATAGATTTTTGTCTCCAAAACTTAACTTGTTTTCTATATATATAAAATATATAAATATATAAAATACAAAAGTGACCATAGAATAGTTTATTATGCACTGTATTGTTAAATGATTTTATATCTCACATTCAGTAAGCTGCCTGGAGACGTGTAATGTTGTAAAACATTTAAATAACATCAGTTTACACATTAACTTTGGAAGCCCTAAAATACTAAAACTGAAATAGAAACTGAATATACTGTTAAAAAAAAGATTAATCATTAAACTGAAAGATAAAAGAACGGTCATGTAGTGAAACTAAATAGAAATAGAATTCTATAGTGCAGCTGTTTAAACAAATTTTACAAAAGTAAAACAGAAATTAAAGGTTAAATTCAGGTTAACAAAATGACTCGCACTTAGTATTTTGCAATGTAAGTGGTACTGCTGATGTTCATACATGCACCATATCTGTCGAGTCTTGCCAACATGTGAGGCAACCAAAATGTTTATCTTCCGTTTAAGAAATGATCAAAAGCAAGTATGTCATAACCTTTGGATCTTTATTAATCTTAAAATATCAATTGTATGCAGGTTTTACTTTGCCGTCCTGAAGTTGTTGCTCACTTTTCACCTCAACCCAGCACTCTCTGTCCTTGGGTGCAGAGTGGCGACATTGACTGCTGTTGTGTCTGTTATGTTGTGGATATGGTCTCATCTATGTTTAATCAGTGTTTTCTTTCGTTAGTACTGCTAGAGGACGGGAGTGGATGCCTTTGTCTTTTATCCTCCCACCACGGATGTAATAGGATTCTCGTGTTTCGCGTTGAGGCTGATGACACGTTCATTTAGCCTTTTAAAGGGACGCTTCATTACTTAAGGATCCCGCAGAGGTCATTGGAGGGTCAGAGATCATGTGTGGAAAATAGCTGGTTGTTCCTTATTTATTCAGTCAACACTACAGTCAGCTTTCTGTGTCTTCTTGATAGTTTGTTGATTTTCCTACTCTTTTGTTTCAGGAGTCAGTTCATGAGTTTTGACCTTGTGATGCTTCTCTTGACGTTGACGGTGTTTACTCTCCATTCAAGGTTTTGGCTCGGATAGAAACAGGGTGAAACTGTAGAAGCAAGTGACATTTAGAATAAGAGGCGATGAGAAGGAAGTAAAGATGACACCAGGAATGAGAAAGGGGTGTGGTGAAGATTTCATGGTCGAATACATATGGAGTAATGTCCAGTACTGAGCAATAGAGAGCATGAGATTGTTCAGTGATCATAGATAGTTCTCTAGAAACCTGAAAAATGTGTTCAGATTTCAACAGCAACCATCCACTCCCATGAAGCATTGCAAATGACAGAATGAATGGGTGACACTTTCAAACTACGTTAGGTAACACTTTATTTTACGGTGTCCTTGTTACACAAGTTACATGCACTTAATATTATAATAAAAGCAAAATATGCAAAATTACATGCAAGTAACCCTAAACAAAACCCTAATCCTAACCCTAACCCTAACCATATAGTAAGTATGTGTAGTTAATTAATATTACTCCATACTTAAATATATAATTATACTGTAACAAGGACACCTTAAAATAAAGTGTAACAACGTAGTAACCCTACGTTGTAAATAAAATAAACATAATTAAAGAAAAAAAAATATTTCAATTTTTCTACTTAAAAATTTCAGGTTTAATTCGGTGCATTGCTTTCTGTTTATTTGTAATTGTTTGTGAAATTTACTAGCTCAAACTGAAACAAAGTTGAAATAGACTCCAAAACTTACCTGTTTTCTATTAAAATATAAATATGACTGTTGAATAGGGATATGCCGGTATCAAATTTTCATGTTGCGATTAATTGCTAATACTTTTATCATGGTATACGGTATTATCACGATATTGAAATTAAGTTTTAAAAAAAAAGTGCTGTCATAATACAGTATAACAGGTTTGATAACTTTTTTCTTATAACAAAAATAACTGAACATTTAAATGCAATAAAGCAATACAGAAAAATGTATAAAGTTAAAAGTTTTACACAGATTAAAGTGCAAAAGAACTATAAAGACCAATAGGTATCACTTTACAATAAGACCTCATTAGTTAACCTTAGTTAATGCATTAACATTCACAATGAGCAATAACTACATTTGCTACAGAAGTTATTAATCCTTGTTTAAAAAATATGCATATTCATTACCGCGATATATCGCATTACCGAATTCCGGCACAAGTCTACTGTTGAATAGTTTTTGATGCACAGTATTGTGAAGGATTCAGAGTTTGTACTGTACCTTGCATTAATTAAAGCATAAAAATGTCACCAGACAGCAGTAAAACATACTTAAATAATATCAGTTTGCTTTACAGTTACTTTTTTCAGTTTACGCAGTTATTTGCACAGTTACTTTACAGTTACATTTCAGTTACTTTACTGAAAGTAGAAAAAAATATAATGGCCCGTTAGTGAAACCAAAAACGAAATTGAAATTTCACACTGTGCACTACTTAGTTATACTTTTCTATACAGTCATAGTTTTTGATTCGACTGCATCATTTGTAATTCTTGTAAAACTTGTACCTCCTCAAATAGTTTTGTTGCACATCACAGTTTGTAATGTGATTCATCTCGGAGCTTGATGGTTCATGGCCTGAACTTTTTATTGAGGAATCGTTTGAAATCCCTGTGGAGAAAATGAATCTGTAAAGTCCTTGGCTGCATGTGCACGCACTGTTGTTTGTGTAATGTTGATTGACCAATCGATCATGAGCACATTAACTTTAGCATCATAAAGGGCATTCGCTGGGTTTGTGATAACAATTCCATCTGGTGTTGCATCTTTCCCCTTTTATCCTCAGTTGTCAACATCACAATCACATGTTTGTGTTGTCCAGGAGATTTCAGGCCTTTACTGACTAATTGCTCAGCTTGGGAACATCAGATCAGGCCAAAGCATCTGGATTGTTCAGTTTTACAACTTGTTTATGGTGTTTCACTTTCATTTCAGTTTGCCACACCTTAAAATAGCTCCTTATATAACCTCCGTGGCTGTTTGCCTTGATCTGAAGCCTATTTTGTGGCATTGCAGTGTCCTCCATGCACACAGCCAGTTGTTGCGCATGCCTGGACCGCATGCAGCTGTTCACATGAATGGGCCATTCCAGAAGGGAGAGGGCCTCCAGACCCTAGTGGGACCTCCTCGGCTGCTGCTCCACAAGGACTTCTGCCCTTTGGGAAAGCTGGAGGGGAAAAAGCTGCATGAAATTTGCTCTCGGAGTGCAGGGAGCAACCACAGTAGCTGTCAGGCATAACCATGAGGGTGTAACCTTTCCCAGGCTGGCCCGTACACAAGGGAGCAGCCAAAAAGTGCCAGGGAAAGGTCAGCATGCACAAAATATCAGAAGGGAGCTTAGTAGGTTGTCTGTTTGATATCTAGTCTAACTGTTACTGTAGTTACATTCTCGGCATAGAATGTATTTATATCACAAGTCTTTGAAGAGCAAGAGGGCAAACAGGATTTTTTTTGTTTTGTTTTTGAAGAAAATGTTGCTTGTGCAAAATTGTGCAAAAACAAGTAAATCTAAACAACTACAACCTTTTGTTGCACAAAACTAGTTCTTGTGTTAGAAAGGCTCAAAAAAGAGCGTTTATGCACATCCCAGACACAGAATGATGTGCTTCAGTAGTGTAATCTGAGTGCACTCCCCTTTCACAAGTTCATAAGTGTTTGATTAGAAATAGTGCAGGGTCTTTTTTCTTTTGCAACTTTTAAAGGTGAGGTATGTAGTTTCTGTGCTTCTGGTGACAACTAGTGGAAAAATAAAACAAACAACCATTGCAAATGCTCCTCACACTTTTACAATTGTTCTTATCCTTACAATATCTTACCATTTTATCTGGGGCTTGACAGTAAAGAGCTAACATGCATGGCAAAAAAATTGAGTTTACCTTACCTGTCGAGGAAAAATCTCGATTGAAACCCAAACCCAAATTCCATCAGTTCTCCATCTTGTAAAAGTGTTGTCTGTCTCTACATATTTTGGTATGTCTTTGAATTTTGGCTTACACTTCTGTAACCAAATCTGAATTTCCTTTCCCGTGTAATGCGTGAGCCGATTAAACAACCTCTGGCTCAATACCAGAGCATGTGAGCGAAGCGGAGCGGTGTGACGCTCCGCTACGTTTTCCGCTCTATGGACGTGCGCTCCACTCAGTCGCTCTAACCGCCCAAGCAAGCGCTCCGCTAATATTCCGCTCACGCTGCTGTGATTTTGTCTGCATGTCATGATCGGGGCTCCGTACAACCGAATATAACCTTAGCCTACCTGTTTATTCATTTATTATGGTATGTAACTAGCTCACCTTTTGCTGCACCATGTTTGCATACATCTTCGTGCTTTCTGTAATCAATATGAATCTGTACTAACTTTAACAGTCTCCCCGCACTCCCTCTCAGTTTCTTCTCCCTGCTCATTCTTAACTTTGATTTTTACTTTACATTTATGTATAAGGCTTGCAACTTCGTTGAAACAATGTCTGGACTCCATAACTGCTCTACTATTCTCGATCTCTACAGATTCTCGATCTCGAACAAGCAAATCACCAAACGGCATTCTGGGTTGAGCGAGCGGCGCTGAGCGTATTGAGCGAGCGGAGCGGAATCTTCAGAAAGGCGCTCTGCGCTCTTAAGGAAATATTACCACTCCGCTCCCACCTCCGCTCACGCTCCGCTCCGCTCACATGCTCTGCTCAATACTCAATATTTCTGACTAAAATATATATTTTGCTGAAATACTTGAAGTTAGACAATAACTGTGACATATGTAGAATTTTAAACCTACAAGTAGGTATATTTTTATGGTAGCACTAACTGTTAAGTGACTGTAATGAGGTAATCAAAATAGCTTAATACAGGTCTGTGCTTTTGTTCTTATTTATTTTCATTTTTAGTTTAGTGAATTTAACTTCTGCTTTAAAAGCATTATTTTTGTTTTTAGATTGTAATATTACAATGTTAGAATAAAATGTGGTTTTGACCCTTTTTTGCACACAATATATAGGCTTTAGGGATGTTCATTTCGGTTAATTTTCCAGACCGACAACCGTTACTTGTTATCCGAACTTTAACCGTTAACTGATAAGATTCGAATAATAAATTAGCATTAAATAAAAAATAGAATGGATGAGTGTCTGTGACCCATTAAAAATACAAAAAAATTTTTTTTCACGGGTTTATTTTAACGTGCAAACAGCAGCATACAGAACAACAGAACCTGGATTCACACATCGTCAAGATATCACGCACCTGCAGCGCTTCTGAGAACAGAGAAAAACTGAATAAAATAACAAATAAAAAGAATAAAATAAATAGGCCTACACTACAGGGCTCCAGACTAACATTTGAGAGCAGTGGCACCAGCGCCACTAAGTTCTACAGATGGTGGCGCCAGAAGCAGATTTGGTTGTGCTGGGGGTGGTGTGTGGGAGTATTAAAATATAGATCATTTAATCATAAAATTATTATTGTTTTGCAATAATAAGTGCTGTTACTAATAATATTACATGTTCATTTCTTGTTTATTTTTCTTTTATTTATTGTTTATACAGATTTGACAGTAAAGCACTAAGCTTGAGTTAAGATGCATAGAAAATGTACTTTTATTAACAACAGTAACAGGTGCAAAATCAAATTTTTATATAGAAAAATTATATATTCCACTCTTATTAAATGTACCATTATTCTTCTAGTATATGGAACTGACCAACTTCAGTGATTATGTATGATTTAGTAACAAATTGAAGAAAAGTTTGTTTTTCAAGGCACTTTGTGACTTTTCTTACTTCATACACAGTGTAAAATTCTGACAAAATCTGATTTCTTGATGATTTGATATTTTATAATATTTCTGATTTTATAATTTCAAAATATAGAGAAAATATATAAATGAATGACTAATAAGCCAATAAGTGCTCCTCTGCTGCCTTCTACTGGTTATAATTGTGATTTGATGTATTTTTTTTACATTTTACATAAGTATTTGTTTACCACAAAGTATATTTTGGTCATCCCAGTAAAAATAACATTCAAACTGGATCATTTTAGAGCTTTAAAGTGCTGGAAATAGTTGTGTGAAATGCTTGAAAGTCATTGAAAATTGCTTGAATTTCTCTCTCAAAAGTAGGGTTGGGTATCGTTAGAAATTTTCCGGTTCCGATTCCGGTTCCAGTTTTGCCTAACGATTCCGGTTCCATTTAAATTAACTATTTTTTTTTTTTTTACTATTTTACCTTGTAATAATTTAATGTAGTGTTGCTGGAAGGTAGTAAGTAATGTTGAGTAATGCATGTGCTTCAAAGTTGATGTTTTTTACACTATCAATAACATTTTGCTTTTCAAGCAGGAATAAGCTGGTTGGCTAAATAGTCCCTTGAGGGCTAAGACACTTGTTCATTTCCCTAAATTAATGAAAATTTATACTTATAACCATGTATACACACACTGCATAAAGCCCCAATTTTACAAATAATAATGCAGTCAGGAGATGGTGTGATGCAATGAGTGGTTTCCACATTTTTAAACATTTAAAATGCATGAAAATATTTTCTATCACTTTGTTTATCACTCTTGAAATGACCTGTACACTAAATAATCTAACCCTCATACTTGCATAACAATAGCAGTCTATTTATTTAGTGGTCCAAGTTGAAGTCAGTATGTATATTAATGACAATATGGGACAAATATAATGTAATTTAGTGGCGGCAGGAGCTGCGTGCTGCCGGTACATGTACAGTCAGACAAAACAATGTGCACATTTATCAAAGACGCGAGTGCGCGTACAGTCGTGGAAAACGATGTGTTTGGCAGTTAAAGACACGGCGTGACGGCGTGTCTGTGGAGTGCGCGTCATGGGAAACAATGTGCTCAGTAATTAAAGAGGCAGGGCGGCGTTTCTGTTATTTGGTTTGTGACATCCTTTACGGGAAACGCCGGCGCAAGACTTCTCACAGCGCTTGGTCACGTGTCGCACCAGAACCGTTTTCGGAACCGAAACTTAGAAATTGCTCACAGTTCCGGTTCTTTTCAAAAAACAGAACCGGTTCTGAATAAGAACCGGTTCACAAATAAGGTTATCAGTTCCCAACCCTACTCAAAAGGTTGTACAAACCCTGAAATAAATGATGTAATGCATTCGACTATTTCTACCACAACACCATGGTTACAGTTAGCGTTACCGCTTCTGTTTTCCTGACGTATGTCAGCGCTGTTTATAACACAGAATTCTGTGCAGAATTTGAATGATTCTCACTAGATCTCGCAGCAACCTTATCACTGTGCGGCGAATTCAAACGCTTCTCACTGGATCTCGCAGCACTGTTGCATCTGTGCAGTAACAGTGTCGCGAAATCAACTTTGGCTCCTGAGTAAAGCTGTTCTGAGCTCGGACAAGTTTGTTTGCGTCGCGGTCCGAGCTGATAAACGGTCCGAGCTGCACAGCTGAAACGTAGCGCGGTTTAGTTTCGCTTAAGTTTCATTTGCCGTTTGATGTTTCTCAAATGCAACAGAAATAGCAGTGCTTATTAGTTGGACAACGCGGTGGTCGCGCCAGTGCGACCACTCAAAAACATTAGTGGCACCGGCAGAAAAAATGGTTGCAAAATGCGACCATTTGGTCGCAGTCTGGAGCCATGCACTAAATATTTTTCAATTAAGTAATTAACATTAAGATGACAAAACGAAAACGCACTGAATCCTTCTATGCACCTTAAAGAACTGAGTCTTTTTTTCGTCAGACATAAAAATAAATAGCAGGTATACCTCAGTGCACAATGTGTCTAGTTTTTATAAAAATAAAAAGTAGGCTAAAATGTCGACGTGCTGTCCGGATTGTCTGGAGTAGAGCTCTGGCGGAACTGTTTCGTAATGCCACTCCCGCTGAATTTCTGACCATTACAGCCTGCTCCAGCAACGTGTGTGTTCCGCTCCCGCAATGTATTGTTTCATTGGACAACATTGGGAAATATACGTGTAACAATGTGTAAAATATATATTTATATACCGTATATCGCAAATCAGCCAAAAATAATTTTTGCTCATATCGCCCAGCCCTAGTGTCTGGGATACTCAATGTTTACACTTTTGGCAGAGATAAACTAATGATGGGCAATACTTATAATAATCAATGCACAAATAAACTGGGTTGAGATTTTATTTTGACAAAAAATTTCAACTTTAAAACACATATGGTGCATTAAAAAATAATGAATTGAGAGATAAAACTTCCTGGAGAGACGCTAACCAGCTAAAACGCCCTTTGAGATGCACCCCCGTCACCCAAATGATAATTTTAAAGGCACCACTGCTTAAAAAAAACATTATAGAAGCAATTTTCACTCAGACATTGCTAGTAAATTTCACAAATAAATGGCTAATAGCTCATTTGAGGTGCATGATTTGATGTATCATTCTTTTCCATATCAATAACGGTGCAGGACGAGCTATGTGTCAATGCTTAATACTTAGTGTCAGTTAGAATAATAGTAGTAGCAATGTTTGCCTAATAATGTGTGTAATATGTTGCTGGTGGTCTTGAATTGAATGGCAGACCAGCTAGAATCAAACCCAACAGCTGTCTAAATTACAGGAAACTGTGTGGACACAGACGCACCTAGGCTTGTTGACATCCATTACCATATTTGCAATGTTAACACAGCCGTGCCAGAGGATTTTTTTTAATTTTTATGGTTCTTTCAGTTTATGAATTGTATGTAACATGTTGTAATTTCTTTCTTGCAGGTCACACATTACAAACAGTATCCACCCAACACCAGCAAGGTATACTCTTACTTTGAGTGCCGCGAGAAGAAGACAGACCCTACCAAGCTCAGAAAAGTCAAATACGACAAAACGGTCTTCTATGGGCTTCAGTACATTCTCCACAGATATTTAAAAGGTACGTTGGACATGGCTGTCAGCACTACTTTAAGTTGCAAATGGAAAATGCAGCCTTGCTGCTGGTCATTTTGGGTTGTGTTCTCGCTCAAGAATGCAGCCTGCCCTCCAAACTTAGTCATACAGTCAGCCCGAAAAATAATAACATTGTTTGTTCCAACGGGGAAAAAATGACTTTCTCGTGATGGAGCCAGTGTTAAATGACCAACCTTGATGGTAGCGTTATAGGCTAAGAATATAGCGGTTTGAGTTTAAGACGTGTGACTAGCAGTCTGGTTTGAGGTTGTTGTTCTCACATGCCGCTCAAATGTGCCACGTTTATAAAGGAATTAAGGATTTCATGGTGCGCTTGGGTGAAGGCTTTAGAAATTGTGTGATAGGATAAAACAAGACAATTGAACATCTGCTCTTTCACCCACAAATGACAGCTGCCCGACGCAGCCCTGGTCACAGATTCAGTCTGGATTCTGCATAAATACTCAAGTTGCATTACTTCTGTTTCTGTTGTTATCTCTCTTTGATCTGTTGTTTATGCTTGAATTTTACCATTTTTTTTCCCTAAATCTCAAACCTCAGAATTTGTTTTGCAGATCATTGCAGCCTTTTGCAAACTTGATACTGTAAGAACTTTTTAGATTCAATCAGCGATTGTCGTCATAGTTTTTCCATACTTAAATTACAGTCATTGAGTAATTTTATACCAGTGTTATTTTTAATATTATTGAGATGCTTTTATAGTTATTAATATTTTGAATCAATCAATTTTTATATTGTATGTTTTAATTTTAATTTTGGTTAAAGTTTTAGTAATTTTGTTGTGTGGTTTTGTCATTTTTAGTAGGTTTTGTTTATTTTATGAATTGTGTACTTTTTGTTTATTTGATTTTAGTTTTAAGTTTAGTTATTTTAGTACATCAAGTTACCAAATCAAAACTAAATTTCTCATTGATAAAACGGCAAAATGGTGCTTTGGCAACTAGCTGAAATAAGTTTTTTTTTTGTATTTTATTTTATTTTATTTCAGTTAACGTTTATTTTGCTTCAATAATAAGTAACGAAAATGTATTTTTAATGGTTTTAGTTTCACTTTTAGTTAACTATAATAACCCTATTTACACAAAAACATTTTTTGAAGTCACAGTATCTGCTATAGTAATACATTAAAATGTATTAAAACACAAGTAGAGCTGCTGTTTTATTTTTGAGGATGCTGTGCTTTTAAGACAGTACTGGTGGGACAAAGCTACACTGTGAGCAAGGAAGAGTCCCTTAATGCAATAAAGCAAGGATGTAGGAAAATGTGCATTTTCCTACACACCAACCTCTCTCTTTTGAGTAGTGTCTTTTTATTCCTGTATTGTTCAGCCACTTCCTTGAGGTGTGTGATACTCTCGTTTCACAGTTGTCCTGTCTCTTTTTGGGCTCACAGGACAGGTCGTCACACGAGAGAAGATTCAGGAAGCAAAAGAGGTGTACCGGGAACACTTTCAGGATGATGTGTTCAATGAAAAAGGATGGAATTACATTTTGGAGGTATGGAGAAGCTCACCTCTGTGCTATTTCTGTCTGTGCTGAATGTTTTGTCCCATCAGGGATGTTCAGTCATGTCTTTGATGTTACATCACTGCAGAAATACAACGGTCACCTGCCCATCGAGATCAAGGCTGTGCCGGAGGGAAGCGTTATCCCGCGTGGGAATGTGCTGTTCACCGTAGAAAGCACAGATCCGGAGTGCTACTGGCTCACTAACTGGGTAGAGGTGAGGCACGACCCTGAACTGATCCCTACAGTGTATTTACATTCATTTAACACTAATCTAAAGCGACTTACTTTACATTTATATTTTTTATATAAATGTTTATATTTTGTCTGTATATGAGTTTGATTTTCATAGGAATACATATCTATGGCTTTAATTTCCATTCTCTACCAGTTAGGATGGATCGGACCAGTATAAAAGAGTTTAGGTCCATTTGACTGATCTTATTATATGTTGAACATTGTTGTTGAATTCTACTGATTTAAACAACATCAAGGTAGCATTATCTATCCATAGATGGATAACATGGATATAAATGTATCTTAAATTGGCTCGTGAGAGTCTAGGAAAGATTAAAAATGATTCACAAATCAGTAATGTTTTACACTACATGGCATTGTTGTCTAGCAAAAGTATGTTTAGATAGATAAATAGCTGCCATGGAGTTACATTATAGCTCGTTTTTGTACAGAAAACATCACGTTTTATTTTTAATTAATTCCATTTTGTTTTTCCCTAAATTTAGTTTTTATGTTAATCCATTTAAACAGAATATGAAAATTCCATTAATATTTATGGATTCTGGATTTTAAGGGTTTAATTATAAATTATAAAAATTCATGAATCATGTCTAATATAATGATTTCAATAATAGTAATAATTGAATATATATATATATATATATATATGTATATATTTTATTTTAATATATATATATTTTAAATTTTTTTACAATAATAAGGCACTGAAATCTCTTATTTTTTCCCTAAATTCTGTGTTTTCTGTATGAATTCTGTTTTAACATTTAAATGATTGGATTCCGATTCTGGATTCAGGTCGAGGGGTATAATTACATTTTAATGATCAAAAATCATGTCTAGTCAAACAAATGTATAAAACAAATTATTATATTAATAATTTAATATATTTGAATATGATTTTACTGATGGTAAGGCATTATGAAAGTATGAAATTCACAAATTCTGTGTTGTCTGTTTGAATTTTTTCTGTATTCTGTTTTATGATTTAATACAAATTTATCATCAAAAATGGTGGAAGTCAAATGAATTATTATGTATCGTGCCAGTGAAAATGTTGGAAAATACTATGAAACTACTGAGCCAACGGGAATATAAAAAAATATTTATTCATCTATGAGGATTATTATTCCTGAATCCTTGAAATTGCATTACCATTTTAACACTGTTGTTATGTTTTTATATAGAATATACACTTATAAACTAATCATATTTAGCTAATTTACTGATTTGTTTTTGCATTGACCCAAAATATAAATCCGAAATATAATTCATGCAGATCCAAATAGGAATAATTCAGTCATGATAGTCTAAATTCTTTAGGCACTGTATATTAGCCACAGAACACACAGATTTCATGAATCATTAGTGGAGTAAACGGTAGGGTGCCCATTTTGGAATTATATATAATTAGGCGTGCAGTTTACATTTCTCACTGTAATGACTACAGCGTTTTCCAAACTTTCCATATGACGGATCGGACGATTTGTCAAACTTGCTGTAACAGACTGTGCAAAAAGCAACATGTCATGCCACACAACTTTTTTCTTAGGATTTGGTGTCAAACCTGCTGAGTCATGCTGACAGTCTGACATCCAGCCACACCTGTACAGTCGTCACGAAATACTACACCTGTCACCAAGGGAACAATCGCTTGTTTCTTTTACTCTCGGCATTTTGAGTAGGGCTGCACGATAAATCACATGCAATATTTATTGCGCATCCTTTCAGTAAAGCCGGTTCTGTAATCAGCGGTAAATCTCCATCACATGCGTGCTTTCACATGGAGCAGCATTTACTACACAGAGCCGTTGTTCACTGACAAGCTGCGCAAAACCACGTTCATATATGCAGCCCTAATTTTGAGTTATTTGTATAGTCAAATCAGCTTTATTTGAGTTATTTTACAGATGACTCAGAGGGCTTTGAATGTATGGCAAACATGTTGTCATGCTTAGCTGGTAAATTTAGTCTGTCTGTGTGTGTGTGTGTGTATGCCCTTGGCTCTCAGTACACACTGTCACCACCTATCTATTCTCCAGTGATTGCAAACACGCGTCTACTTCCTTAATGATGACCATGGGAAGGCACTGATGCTTACGAATAACTGAACTGTTTGGAGACTTTTCAGACTCACAAGGTGACATTTAACTGATAATTAAAATATTTAGTATAAGCTTCTCTTAAACCTTCATCCTTGGTGTTGTGAGAGTGGAGAGAGTCACATGCTGGCACATTATAGTTTGGCTTTACGGTCATGTGACCCGGTGCTCACACTAGTGACCCTGGCAGTTTGAAGCTAATCTCTGATGGCAGGATGCACATCTGAGCACAAAGACAGATTTTGGGCGGCGTTGATCCATGACTCAGACTTAATGACATTATGTATGAAGTTTACTCGCTGAAAACCCACAGATCAGTGCGAGAAAACTGTTTGGATCACTTTGTAGCCATCAGTCAGATGACTCCGGTATTAATCGTGCTAGCTTGCAGATTTTAAGTCAGTGTTTAAGTCAATTTTGCTTCTTATTACATGCTAAATTTCAAGTGCCAAAATCGAGTAAAACGGTTAAAAACAATTATCAAATCACAAAGGCTGTTTTAATTATATGAATATATAGTCTGACGAGCTGCTGTGATTTGGGTCACATGAAAGATTCATATTTTGGTTTTGGGAGTCCCCAACAACAGGTTGACATGCATGCAAGGTCAAAAAACACTTTCATTGTCTTATAATATGCATTTATTTTTTCCTTTTTTGCTCAACGACTCCCAAACGGTTCGCTCAACGATTCATTTTTCCAAACCCTATGCAGAAACGTATTGATAAAGCACTGCAGTTTGTACACCATCGTATTGCTCTATTCTTTATCAGAACTCCAAGAAATAACAACAACAAACATTCACTATTAATCGACACATTTCTAGATAATTGCAAGTGAACAGATATTGCTGTTAGCCGGTTAGACGTGACCTACAAGCTGCGCGGAGCGAACACAACACACACAACTAAATACGTATTTTGCGTGCTACAGTACAGAGTACATGACAGCAACAGTTTTTAAAAGAATTACTCCACTTTCAGAATAAAAATTTCCTGATCATTTACTCACCCCCATGTCATCCAAGATGTTCATGTCTCTGTTTCTTCAGTCGTAAAGAATTTAAGGTTTTTGAGGAAAACATTCTAGTATTTTTCTCCATATAGTGGACTTCAGTGGTGCTCAACGGATTGAAGGTTAAAAATGCAGTTTCAATGCAGCTTCAAAGGGCTCTACACGATCCCAGCCGAGGAATAAGGGTCTTACCTAGCGAAACGATCTGTCATTTCCTTTAAAAAAATTATATTTATACACTTTTTAACCACAAATGCTCGTCTTGTCTAGCTCTGCGAGGCGCATGCGTACGGTTCAAGACAGGGTATGTCTAAAAACTCCAAACACTTTTCTCCTCCAACTTCAAAATCATCCTACAAATGAGTTGGGATTTTTTCGACATACCCTAACTGTACCCTAACGGATTTCCCCTCACAGTGCAGAGCACAGCGTCTTCTCCACAGGAATCCGCTACGGTGTTTGATGGAGGGGTGGGTCAAGTTTTTCCGGGTCTGCGCACGTAACAAGTGGGCGGGCATAAATATGCTAATGTTTCATGTTGACCTCAACTTGAAACAGCTTAAGATTCGACTCTGAGTCGACTTTCTTTTGAAAGACAATAACTTTATACACGGTGCACTTTTAGATTTAAAACTTTGCAGGATGTTTTCATTCACTTAGAGCTGCGTTACACACTGCATGAAAGGTAATTTTCAAAAATCCATATTAGGGGCACTTTAAATAATGTAGTGTAATTTATATATGAAAATAATATGTAATTTTACTTTATTTTCTAAAATAATTTACATATAATATTTATTATTAGTAATGTAATAGTTATTACTCTATTATAATTAATAATAGTTATTATTGTTTTATTACTAATTTATTAAATACTCATTTAATATGAAATTTAAAAAATGTATTGAAATTTATATATGTAAATTATATATAATTTTACTGTATTTTCTAAAATTATGTATATGTATGTATATCTATATATATTCTTGTAATAATTATTACTATGTATTATAATAACTTTATAATAGTTATTATTGTTATTACAAATTTGTTAAATACTCATTATTTAATAATAATAATTATAATAATAAGGTCTAAAATTATGTATGTATGTATGTATATCTATATATATTCTTGTAATAATTATTACTATGTATTATAATAACTTTATAATAGTTATTATTGTTATTACAAATTTGTTAAATACTCATTATTTAATAATAATAATTATAATAATAAGGGGTGGTTCAGGTTTCCTTTCTTTGTTGTCCTTAGCTGTTTACATGCCTGATGTTCCTGATCTTATTTATTTATTTATTTATTTTTAAAAATCTTATTATGTTTCATTAGTGCATTTTTTTTTCTTTGAAATGACTTTAATTTTTGATTGACATAATTTTATTAGGTTAGCGAGCTATTGATTAATGTTAACCGATAGCCAAACTGCTATTTAGCCATTGTTTTAAGAAATTAAGAGACTTAATGCCCACTTTTCATGATCCAATCAGTTCCCGATGGACAAAATCAAATCCCGTCCAACATTTTTCTCACTGAACATCCTGTTTCACTTAGAAATACATAAAGTTATTGAAGTAAAATGGGTTGCGACTTTGATTGTTCAGAGACTACAATGAGAAATGAATTAAATCATTTTGAAATGAGGATTGTGTGGGTTTTGCAGCCATGGTTTGGGGGCAAAAAATCATCCAAAAGTGACCAAACTACCTTGCATTAAAAATCACTGTCCTAGAATCTCAGATGTTTAGATAAGTTGAATCAGGTTCATGTGACTGGGACACCAGGATGTTCTTGTGCCCAAAGGCTTGTGCCCAGGGCTTATCAGGGTATGTGCGCAGTATGATAATATTGACTTGACCGGCTGGTCTTTAACAAAGCATTTCTGCCTGGCATCCCCTTGTATGAGTCCAGCAAACACTCTGTGCAGTCTCTGTGTTGACTCTATGACACATTCCCAAGCACTCGGGTCTCATCGAGCTTTAGGTTGTTTTTGGATTCAGTTTCCAGCTGACTTCACTTTTGTTTTTGAGTTCCAAGAAATTCGCAACTTTCAGATGTGACGATACATGAGCTATAAGGTGCATTATTTGGGGGGAAACTCACATGACGTGTTCATTCATTGTGCAGAAATGCTAACAACAACACGTTTCTGATAGTTTAATGTAATGAACTGTTGAAATGATGCAAAATTGTCTCCTCAACAGACTATCCTGGTTCAGAGCTGGTATCCCATCACCGTCGCGACAAACTCACGAGAACAGAAGAAGATTCTGGCCAAATATCTCATGGAAACGTCAGGAAGCCTGGAAGGACTGGAATATAAACTGCATGACTTTGGCTACAGAGGGGTTTCATCTCAAGAGGTGATGTTTGTGTGTTGCTACACTTCATTTGAAGTGCTAAAAGCTTGGAGAGACTGTTTACTGTTACCCAAACCCAACAAATCTGATTTAAGTACATGGACTCTATCCAAGTCAGAAGTGTCTTCTTACTCGTATTCATAACATTCAACTGTAAATGCCAAGCATTTTATTCATACAGTACATATCAAACATCGTCCACCCTGTAATTTTCTCTTCATGGTTTAGTTTCTGGACTAGCTGTGTTTATACTGGTGTTTTGGTTTCAGACGGCTGGTATCGGCGCATCTGCACACTTGGTAAACTTCAAAGGAACAGACACCGTGGCCGGAATCTGTGTCATCAAGAAGTACTACGGCACCAAAGACCCGGTTCCTGGTTTCTCAGTTCCAGCTGCAGAACACAGGTGGAACAACTTGAAGCTAAGAGCTTGATGATAGTAAATTGCATTGCAAAACAATGTGAACTTGCCTGAAGAGTTTCCTTTTACTGTGTCGTATGCGAGGCATAAGATAATGTGGCCCAATGCATTCTGGTTAGTTAGTGCTGCACCATTACACTTCTCATTTTCTGCCCTGTACCAGGAGCTGACAGCACCCTGTTACATAATTACCAAAGACCAGTGTTTCTTCACACTCCAGCGATTTGTAGTGCAATTTTTACTGTAGTAAAGGGAAATGAAATTTTGCACTAGTTTCAGTGGTGCTTTTGAAATTTAGTCTTGTTGACATACAGCACGTTTTGTACAATGCTGCCACCTAGTGGTAGATATCATAACTTGAGTACAATCAGCACAGTGGTTTAGGAGTGATGTTTTTGCAATTTTATTATATTTATAATATACAGTTTTATAGTTTGTATAAAATACAATTTTAATTAAAATGGTTTTATTTTTTTTATCCGTAATGCTAACAGATAAGTGAATTGCCAGAAAATAGCAGAAAATCACATTAAGAATGTTATTTAATAATCATAGTAATAGTAATAATAGTAATAATATAACATTATAATAATAATTTCGTTTTTTTCTAAATTATTAAAATAAACACACACACAACATATATATGTAATATATGTATATTTGCTTAGAAGTTTTATAGTGTAGGTGTAAAAAAAAGTATAATTAATATCTGTAAAGTCTATAATGTTAACACACACTATGCATATGTAAGCATTACAGACTTGACAGATGAAAGAATACAACTTTGAATTAACATTGTATAAAAGTATAGATGCATTTACAGTAGTCAACATTTGAAGTGGATCAAAAAAGTTCCTCATAGTTGTCCTAAGACAAGAACACATTTTGGTTTTAGGAAACTTTGATGAAAGGTTTTGATCCACTTCAAATGTTGACTACTGTATACAATTTTAATTCAAAAGTTTTATTTTTTAATCTGTAAAGTCTGTAATGCTAACAAATAAGTGAATTGCTGGAAAAAAGCCATAATTTTAAGAATAGGTAATAGTAGTAGTAGTAGTAATAATAATAACAGAACAGTGTAGTAGTAATAATAATAACTTAGTTTTTTCTTAAATAATTTAGAATAATTTTCTTGATGTTGCCTGGTCTCACTGATTGTGTCTTTGTATTGCAGCACAATCACTGCCTGGGGAAAGGACCATGAGAAGGACGCTTTTGAACACATCATCAAGCAGTTCCCCTCTGTCCCCGTGTCAATCGTCAGCGACAGCTACGACATCTACAACGCCTGTGAGAAGATCTGGGGGGAGGACCTGAGGGGTCTGATCGAGATGAGGAGCGCAGACGCCCCGCTGGTGGTCCGACCGGATTCAGGAAACCCTCTAGACACAGTGCTAAAGGTAGACATTATCACATCCAAAATCATCTTAACTATAGCTGGCAACTGATCGATTATTCTATCATTTGGATATTTCATTTATATATATATATACAGTGGGTACGGAAAGTATTCAGACCCCCTTAAATTTTTCACTCTTTGTTATATTGCAGCCATTTGCTAAAATCATTTAAGTTTTGGATATTTCATGTTTTTTTTAATATATATATATATATATATGCATAGTGTGATGCATAGCATGTCCATTAAGTCTATTAAATTTTCCAGGTCCTAGAAATTTTAGGAAAGAAATTTCCTCTGGTTGAGAACTCTAAAGGCTATAAGGTGCTTCCGCCCTACATCCGAGTCATTCAGGGCGACGGTGTGGACATCAATACTTTACAGGAGGTGTGTATGTTGTCCATCTCATGACTGTATGCTACATGAATTTAAACTCATTCTGTGCCTGTTTTGCTTTGTTATACAGATTGTGGAGGGCATGAAAGAGCACAGATGGAGCATCGAGAACATCGCGTTTGGCTCAGGAGGAGCACTGCTGCAGAAACTGACCCGAGATCTGCTCAACTGCTCTTTTAAGTGCAGTTATGTGGTGACGAACGGACTGGGCGTAAGTGTCGAGCGATGGCAGATTTAGTAGCTCCATTCGCTGACTTCAGTGTACAATATGTATTATTCAAATCAGTAGTATTGAGAAAATAAATGATTTATTAATAATATGTTGTTAATTACAGGTCAACGTCTTCAAAGACCCTGTCGCAGACCCCAACAAAAGGTCAAAGAAGGGTCGGCTTTCTCTTCACAGGACGCCAAGTGGAGATTTTGTTACTCTGGAAGAGGGGAAGGGTGATCTGGAGGAATATGGAGAGGTGTGTGACTAAAAATGAATCAATAAAATCAATTAATTAAATGCATTTGACTTAATACTAATGAGGAGAAAACTGTTTATTCACTCCCAAGTCCTTAAAAAGTTTTTAATCAAGTTTGAGGCTTATAAAAGTTTTAACTATCTTAAATGGTATAACAAAAGTCTTTATTATTATTTCAAGAGGTCTTAAATTTGGAGAAAGAAAAACAGGAATTGGGATACGGCCTAATGTGATTAATAAACTTCAAAAGGCTATGATTTAATTAAATGTTCAAACATTCTGCAGTTTCAGAGCAGTTCGCAATCAATGAATTATATGCATTTATGCCAAACAATTGCATATGATTTACTGTTGAGAATTTATTGAAGTGCTTGTTTTATGCAGTTTATATTGTGTAATATGTTACATATGGTTGTAAGATTGCATTTTTTATCGCCCTAATTTGAACGAGCAGTTGGAAGTAGTAAACCATTGACATTTCAAAATAAAAGTCCCAGAGTATTTTGGCCTTGTTCATAATTAAAAGTCCTGCATTAAAGCATAAAAACTTTTTTTTCCCTTTTCTGATTACTACTGATTTTCAGGTTATATAATAAACTGTATGACATTTAAGTTAATGTAAATTCTTGAATATCTGAAATTAAAGGGGTCATATGATGCTTTTTTAAAGATCATTATTTGGTGTATTTGGTGTAACAGAATATGTTGACATGCTTTAATGTTCAAAAAACACATTATTTTTCAAATACTGTACATTATTGTAGGTCCTCTATGCCCCGCCTCTCTCAAACGCTTCGTTTTCTACAAAGTCCCTCCTTCCGACAAGCGCAGTCTGCTCTGATTGGCCAGCTGACCCAGTACATTGTGATTGGCCGAACACCGCAAGCACTCGTCGGAAATGTAACACCCCTTACCATAATCGCGAGCTTCATCTTTCAAAATAAATGTTAAGACCGTAAATAATGTCAGTTTTACCATCAGTTCAAGCCCAAAAGGGGAACAGAATCGCATGACAGACACATTGATGAAGCTGGTATGTGTACACAAGCCACGGTTAAGACAGCTTACTCCACTGTGATGTGACCCTCTCTCTCGCTCTCTCGCTCTCTCTCTCTCTCGTGCTCTCTCTCTCTCGCTCTCTCGCTCGCAGAGAAAGGAAAACTTGAAATCGCATCATATGACCCCTTTAACACATTTAATATTTAGATGCTATTTATTGCTTGTCATTAATATAATTTGTATGTATGGATATATTAGTGCATAAACCAGTTTAAATACACATGCATGTATTAAATAAAACATGTCTTGAGCATTTTGCAATTGTTTTGCAATTGAATGCATACCTGATTAATGGATTAAAACACATATTTTGAGATTGTGAGACGTACGGTATTCATTTTGTTCATGCCGGTATTACATTTTGATTTTAAAAGCTCCCTAAAACCCTGATAATTGCATATGGTCATCTTGTCAGTTCATTTTGACCGTTTCCCCGTCTCTTCACAGGACTTGCTGCACACTGTGTTCAGAAACGGGAAGATTGTAAAGACGTACACCTTCGATGAGGTCAGAGACAATGCCAAGCTGAAGGAGAGCGAATTGGAGGATCTGCTGCTCTGAGAGTGTCTCCCATCAGCCCTCTCTCCACCCACACCCACCCGAGAGAACCTGCGTCCCGACAGACGTGAGGACACGCAGTTACCCCACGTTCAGTGTACAGAGCTGTTCTATGTTTCTGTCTACTGACTCCGCTACGCTTCAGTGTCTCTTTCTAACGGCGGATGAGAGCAGTTATCATGCTATTTAAATCATTTAACTGTGTATTTGACCAAGTGTGCTATTGATCACACGTCTTTGCAGGAATGGAGACGTTTATGTGTGCGTATACCGCGAGAAGATTTCGCTTTGCTTGACTGTAGGACTGAAAGGTAATCGTTCCGTGTTTGTTGAATGTGAATGTTTGTGTGTAGGGTTTATCACTTTAGCCAAGGATTGATCTATTCCTTTATGCAAAGGAGACGGCTGAACTAGAGGGATACTTTCATTCTCTTTCATTGGCCTTGTGTTTATTTGATGTCATTTCTGGTTTTATTTGAAAGATGAAACCTAAAAGAGCATGTTTAGGTCGCATTTCACCCTAAAATCAAGAGGAAAAAATAAGAAACTTCATTTTGCATTAAGAAATTAGCATTTTTGCTTTATTTCCATGACATTTAAGCATATTTTACCACCAATTCCCATTACTATATACTGTGTCCAGATTTTTTACCTTAATTTTTTACTGTAATTCTTAACATTTTCAATGGTGATTCTCAGTAATCATTCTTTGAAAATATTAAATGTTGTTACTGTTATGCAGTATTTTTTAAAATTTCAATAAAAATATTTTTTTTATTTAAAATTAGCATAAATTAAAGGCTGTATAAATACTGTATATTAAATATATACATATACACACACACACACACAGTAGTTTTGAGTATTTTAGTAAAAGGATTTTATATATATATATATATATATATATATATTCTTTCTTTATGCAAAATATAATATCTTATTTCTTTCTTTTGATTTTTGGGGTGAAATATGATCTGGACTTGTTCTTGACAGGATTCATCCAAATATAATACACCCTTTCCTTTCTGCAGAGAACATTATCCTGATTTTGCCAACATGTTAAATGCTACATCAAGATATACAATGTAAACCTGAAATATTTAAGTCAACAAAAAAAGCCTTTTTTTTTATATTACTCACTACGGCTCTTTATTTGAAAACACGTTTTATTATACAGCGGGAATCATTTTAGAAAAGCTTGGTTTTACTATTTTCTATACTTACTGTTTCAAACTACATTAAAATCATTATTTTTTATGACAGACGTAAATACCACCAGAGTTGCCATAGTAAATATCCATAGTCAGAATAATGTGGCCAAACTGCCTCCTCTCTTGTATATATCGGCGTGTGTGTTTGTTTTGAGAGAGCTGGCTTCTTATTAGTGCAAACAGAGATCTGTTCTTATTTTTGTCTAATGCCCATTTTTTACCAACAGAAAATTCAGGCATCTGTTACGTTCTGTAGAAAGACTTATGTCTCTGGCACGTGTGTTGATATGCATATGTGTGTGTGGTGCGAGTGTGTATGTACATACTTGTTTGATTGACAATACTTGCTAATTATAATTTCATTGATGTTTTTATGTATATGTTGGGTCTCCCTTTTTATTTCAACTTCTTGGGATATTTTAAAACTAACATGACCGATGCCATTTTGACAGCATATTAAATCAATGACAACAGTCCATCCTTTTTGCTGAAATGTTATAATTATTATTATTTCTTTTACTTTTTTATGGAATAGTGAAAAAGATGAAACCATTCCCTTTTATAGCTGCTGTAAGGACAGTAAACAGTTTCTCAATGCACTAGCCTTCAATCTAGTATTGAAATCACTTCATTTTGATGACGAGTTTAAAACTGTGTTAAGTAAAATTAGTGTGAACGTTTAAATAAAAAGCAATATCATACCCATTCGGGTTTGGGTTGTATATCTCTGGATGCAACACATGGTCATTTGATTAAAAAAAAATCTTTTACTGGTCTGTTTGGTAGCAGCCATTCATTGCACAATTTACATACAGTATACTTTGCTATTTTCAACTACAAGCGTTACGAACTGATAGATTTCATTCATTTGTAATTTTGTTTAGTTGCGGTGTCTGCAGATACCCTAATTATACTTTCCTGCCCCAGAACAGTTAGCTAAAAGTTTTAAAAATGTTTTAAACAAAACACCAACATCCTTTTATTATTTACATGTAAATAATCTATAATATCAATTCTGAAAATATTTTAAATAATTATTAAAGTATAATGAATATGAAATATATAATGACTGCAAATACATATAATAAACATAAGTGGTTAAAAATATTTATGCAGTACTTGTTTTGTCATGTAGTGTCCGATAGCAATACTAAAATCGCTCCACATTGTTTTCTAACTTTTGTGGTCACTATATATATATATACACACCGCACACACACACACTTAAAGGAACACTCCACTATTTTTGAAAATAGGCTCATTTTCCAACTCCCCTAGAGTTGAACAGTTTCTACAAAAATATAGAAACTCTTTGGTCATTTTTGAGCGAGATGCTAACGGTCTAATCAGATTCAATGATCTATGCTAAGCTACAGCTAAAAGTACTAACGCCAGACCCGGAGATCGGCTGAATGGATTCGAAAACGGTAAAACTCAACTGTTTAACTCTAGGGGAGTTGGAAAATGAGCCTATTTTCAAAAATAGTGGAGTGTTCCTTTAAATGTGAAGAGTATACTTATTTTTAGACCACATATTTTGTCATGCAATATTTTGTAATATAACACTTTGTAATATAACTTTTGTTTGTACTAAAATGATTGAAAATGCTGCCTAAAATTGTATATATATTAATTAATAAGGATATTGGTAACACTTTAGTGTCCAATTCTCACTATTAACTTGTTGGTTATTAGCATGAATATTACTGGGATATTGGCTGTTTATTATTACTACAGCTGTTGCCGTCTATAAAGCATGAATCCGAAAGTGGTACAGATGAGAAGTTTCTCTGTTTTCTTGAGAATGAATGAGCTGGCAAACAGGATGTATCATGCAGCGAAACTAAACATCTGGTTTTGGAAAATGAGCCTGAAGTTGGCCATGAACAGCAGGTCTTCATTTAACTTCCAAGGGTTAAACACAAACTGAGGTATTTATTTTTTGCATAAAATGCACATTCCCTTCACTAGCAACTCAGCATGTCTTGAGTTTTCTTTAGCCACCTACTTGCATGAAGTTCCTCCCTTATTTCCTCAAAGGAATTTGTTATTGGCAGGGAAAATGGAGTTACTGAAACAGCTGTTGCTGTCTATAAAGCATGAATCCGAAAGTGGGACAGATGAGAAGTTTCTCTGTTTTCTTGAGAATGAATGAGCTGGCAAACAGGATGTATCATGCAGCGAAACTAAACATCTGGTTTTGGAAAATGAGCTTGATGTTGGCCGTGAACTGCAGGTCTTCATTTAACTTCCAGGGGTTAAACACAACCAGTGAGGGAATCCAGGTTAAAACTGAGCACAGGATCAGATTAGTATGTCAGATGATTCATGAACGCATGCGATGCAGAAAGCTTATTTAACTGTGAACTCTGCGGTGCATCTTCAGGTTTGTGCATGCTAGAAACTGAAGACGTGTCTGCATGCTTCTGTTGGCCATTGGCGAGCACTGATGTAATGCTACATTTCTCCGAATCTCTTTGTGTTTTTATACCTTCATTTGCAGGTTAAACCAGGAGCTGCTGGTGGAGAGCAACACCACTCTTTGCAATCGCGCAGTTCCTGCAACCCATCTTGTAGGAGACTCGTCGTCCTCGGTGGAGTTTTTCGTGGCTGTGGCCGTCTTGGCTTTCCTCTATTCAATGGTGGCTCTGCTGGTCTATCTGGGCTACATGCATGTGTACAGAGACTCAGACTTCGGCCCTATGTTTGTGAGTATGCAACTTGCAGATGAGCTTGAAGTATGCATGCAATATGCATTTGAATATCATGATGCAGATGCTTTTAAGGGAAAATTCTATTTATAATATTTCTGTCTTTATCTGCTAGGATTTTGTGCTGACAGCAGTCTTTGCGTTCCTGTGGCTGGTGTGCTCGTCTGCATGGGCTCGAGGTCTGCAGATGGTGAAGGATGCCACCGGTACAGCTGGCATTGAATTCACTCTGGCGCTCTGTACGGACAGAGATGTCAGATGTGAAGTCACTGATTACGCTAGCATGCGCTCGCTCAATATATCTGTGGTAAGAAATTACACTAACTAATCAACTGTATTTTTTCACTGTTTATTATCATGCTGATTATCAATTTTTTAACATTACCAAAAAAGGTACATACCCCTAACATAGCGATGCAATCTTAAAGACAGTGTTAAACTGCATTTGCAATGTATTTAACTTCCTTAACGTCTTAATTAAAATGAAAAGGAACTTTATTCACTGGCATGTGATGCTTTTGAAGTATGTACACTGGACCAACAGTTTGGAATTTTTAAAAGTTTTTGAAAGAAGTCTCTTCTGCTCAACAAGGCTGCATTTATTTGATCAAAAATACAGTAAAATTATGAAATATTATTACAATTTAAAACAACTGTTTTCAATTCGAATATATTGTAAAATGCATTTTTTTTCCTGTGATCAAATCTGAATTTTCAGCATCATTACTCCAGTCTTCAGTGTCACATGATCCTTCAGAAATCATGCTAATATGCTGATTTGCTGCTCAAGAAACATTATTATCAATGTTGAAAACAGTCGTGCTGCTCCATGTTTTTGTGGAAACTGAGATACACCACCATTCAAAAGTTTGGGATAAGTACAATAAAAAAAAGAAATTAACTTATTCTCCAAGGATGCATTCAGTTGTTGAAAAGTAAGAGGAAAGATATTTATAATGTTGCGAAATCTATTCTATTCATCAAAGAACCCTGAAAAGAAAAAATTATATATATATATACAGTGGGTACGGAAAGTATTCAGACCCCCTTAAATTTTTCACTCTTTTTAGATTGTAATATTATTTCACAATTTTACTGTTTTTACTGTATTTTTCATCATATAAATGCAGCCTTGGTGAGCAGAAAGAGATTTTCCAATTATTCCAAACTTTTGCCCCTGAGTGTATATTATAAATGACTGACTCCAGACATCATTTTCAGATATTTGGTTTCTTGAATCTCATCCTGTGGGTTGGGAACGCCTGGTTTGTGTATAAGGAGACGCGCTGGCACTCTCAGAAGGTCAACGCTCAACAAGCGGCAGGACGGGGTCCAAATCCAGCAGCCATCTAAACAATTACCCCACAGCATAACAATGCCCACCGTAGCCGTTATGAAAAACACACAGTAACAGTTTATGCTTTACGCAGTTTGTCTGTAAGAACAATACTCATATGACTGCCGTGTTCATTTGTGAGATTTCTCTCTTCACCTTTTCTGTTTCTTGTGTACTTGAAGAAAATATCTTTTTTTACCTTGGTTATATTTTTATTAGCATGCTTTTTTGAACTTTTAATGGAAATGCAACATGTTTTGAATGTACTATTACAATATATTTGACTTTTATGATGACTAATATCCTTGTTGCGTTTATATTGTTATCTATGCCGTTTTTATGCAGTATTAAGCTTCAGTCGCATTTTTAATGGTGCTGGAGTTTTGTTTAGGAAGGTTTTCTCTCTTTTCTTGTTCGTGCTTCTGTTTCTTTAGGGAAGCATTGTTCTCCTGCCACTGAAATGTCATTTTTTGAGGAATAAAACTGACTGTGAAGTGCACTTGGTAGTGGACTTTGTGCTTCTGGGGAGAAAGTGTGATTTCTTACCCAAATAAATCCTGGCTTCCTTCTGGTATAATGGCGCTTTTTGTTTGCCGGCTCATCCTGTGACTTCACTGATCAGCATTTGTCAAAAGAACAACAACATTATCTGGAGCGAAAGCCTCAATCTGGTAGTTCACAGTGTTAGGCTGAACGCCTGGCCTGTTTATTCACATATTCATATCTCAAATTATTTTTTTGTGTCGTGGTTGTGCATTTAGTGCAGGATAGGTGTGTTGATTTCAGTCTTTCAGCCTGTAGTGCATTACTTTAAATAATACAAATAACTAAATAGCGCATTGATATTTAGTATACAGCTTTTGTTTGTCTGAATCTCGTGACTGTCACTCTTTGCGACACTTTAGGAACTCTAAACAAGTAAACGCAGTAAGTAGTGTGTGTGTACCGTATTGACCCAAATATAAGACGATGTTTTTTTCTTGGAAATACATCTGAAAAAACGCGGTCGTCTTATATTCAGGGTCTAGACTTTGACATGTCAATAATACACCCACAACAATAGGTGGCGCCAAATACGCATAAAACGAGTGTGCCATGAAATACGTAATGTAATGCGTGTTGTAAAGATCGCGAGTAAAAACAAAAGAAGCAGAAAACCTTACAGCTGCATGAGTCGTGACTGTCACGTTAGCCTGATGGCACCAAACTCTCTTTGTGATTTTAAAACGTAAGACAGTACCCAGATTTGAAGACTACAGTAAGATTTAACTTCTGCTGTTAATAAGATTTTGGTAGGCTACTATTAGATGGATAGCCTAAATGTCCTAATTCAGATGGGCTACCTGTTTTTTTTTTGTTTTTAATGGTATATCAAAAAGTGTATATTTTTTTTAATGTGATTGTTGGTACATTTTACCAGTTTTTACCATACTTTCAAAACAAAAATTAAAATAGGAAAAATATGCAATATGAAAATAATTGAAGACAAACTGTGTTTTACTGAGAAAAAACAAGATTTGGCTTTTAAAAAGCCTTGTCCCAAAAGGTACATCTGGAAAAAGGGGGGGTCGTCTTATAATCAGGGTCGTCTTATATTCGGGCCAATACGGTAATTATTGCGTTACAGCGCCACCTGCTGGCGATGATGAGACGATGACTCTCATAAACAGCTGCTTGTGTAACAGAACAAGTGAAATTAAATTATTGACATTCGTCAAAAATTATTTACCCACAGGATCACAAAAATCTGCGCCTGAATGATAACCAAACTAAAGACCACACCATGTGAGGATGAAAATGAAAACAACATCGATAACTGTATTTAAAAAAGGCATTTTAGTCTACTATTAGATTACTGTCATAATCAACAATAATAACTAGTAGTAATACTTTTTTAGGAATGTGTTAATTATATTTTATGTAAACAACATGTCTAAACATCAATTTAGTAGTTATAGAATCAATAATAATAGTAATAATTATTATTTTAAATACATTTTACATTTATATTACATTTATTAGTAGTAATAAGTAAAACCATTATTACTAGTTGTTGAAGATAATAATAATAATTAATATTAGTATTATGATTGTGATTATTATTACTGTTATTATAAGTTGTATTAACTGTTGATTATAAAATTAATAAAATTTTATTACTTGCATAATATATAACAAATATTAAATAATATATTAATTAAATGAATAAAAATGAAAAGGTACTATTACTATGTAAATAATAATAATTATCATCATTATCATCATTGTTATTAATTGTTGCTATTAATAACATTTTGAATTATTTTTCATTATTCATTTAATGAATGTATTAATGTATTCATTAATATTTATTTATATACAAACACTAAAATTAGATTAATTTATAATCAACAATTATTACAACTATCAATAATAATAATGATGATGATGATGATTATTATTTACACTGATATTCCTTTTATTTTTATTTATTTAATTAAAGTATTCCTTTAATATTTATTACATATTATGTAAACATTACAATGTAATTCATTTTATACTTAACAGTTTATACAAGTATTACAAATAACACCAATAATATTAATAACAATAATTATCTTAAACATCAACGACTTGTAATAATAGTAATAAGTAGTAATACTACTAATAATATGATTACATTATTTTATTAATTATTGCTAGTAATTACATTCATATTAATTGTGCCATTATTAATGCATATGTAATTATTATGTAATTAAAATGTAGAAATGAAAGTAAACTATCACTACTACTACTACTAAAATGGCGTAAGGACGATTAGAATATAAGAATAATTGTGTAATATAAGAATGCACGATGCACGCGGTCAACCTTTCACCTTTCCGTCTCTGAAGCCGAGCGCAGCCGAGCGCTGGCCGAACTGTGGCGAAGGTGGCGTCATATGTTTCTCTCGCTCGCTCGCTCGTCTCGCAGTCTGTGAAGGAAGAAGGAAGAGCAATGGCGACGCTGTACCGCCGCGCGCTCACACTGCACACAGGAGCCACAACACGCACTGTAAGTCACATTAGCGCCCTCAGACACCCGCTCGACTGCAGTACGACACTCGACGATGTCAGGGTTTATAACTGGAGATCGCGCGTGCATCTGCGCTGCTGCATAAACAACGCGCCGTAAACGCGCGTGCATTCCTTTCGTCATCTGTCACGATTGATTGACAGGCGTCGCGCTCTTCTGTACTTTACGCGTCAATGTTAGTGGCTCAGGAGACGGAGTGTGTATAAGTTTAGACACTGTGTGTTTGTGTGCGTATTTGTATGTGTGTTGCTTTGCTGGATCAAGACAGCCATCTAGCTACCAGTATCTGTAACTGTGCATGCTCGTTAACTGGTTGGTTACAGTGTCAGTCTAATGCATGCGGCGATATTGAATATTTTCAGATCTTTACTCTGATACTGCTGGGAAGAAGCTCTTGAAGGGTTCAGAGGTGATCAAACTCAGTAAAGCAGGTGAGTGTGTGTGTGTGTGTGTGTGTCATGATGGTGGGCGTTTCTTCTCGTGTCATCATGTTGTTATTGCTGTCAGCTCATATAGGCTTAGGGTAATACTGTACTTTCACAGCATGCATTATCACTGTTTGCACCTTCAATAGTTTTCCATTGTTGTCACCATACCAGAATTTCATTAGTTCATACAACATGCTAATAACAAATCTATAAGTATTATTATTATTTCATGCTACCAGTGAAACTTACATTTTTTTGTGCCTGCTTGAACAATACCTTTGAGTATTTACAGCAATAAAAAGAGCATTTTAATGTTTTATATTTATCCGGTTTATTTTAATAAATAATGTTAATATGTTATTGTAATTATATTAAAATAAATATCTAAATTATATTTTACATTTGATTTGAATTACTAATAATATGTCTTTATTGTATTTTATTGAAATAAAAATATTTTAATAAATAATATTAATATTTTATATTATTGTAACTATACTATATTAAAATAAATAAACAATTTAAATGGTTTTAATATTGCATACTTTTATTTTATTTTAATTAATATATTTGTTATTTTATTACAATACACATTTTAATTGTATTTTTATATTTTAAATTTTATAGTTTTATCTTAATAAATAATATTTTTATTGTGAGTGTATTAAAATTAATATCTTAATATTTTCGATTATCACATTTTATTTGTTATTTACATGTAAAAGAACCAGTACTTCCGTACCATGTTGTGCTAAAATAAAAAGTAATAATAATAACAACAACAACAAATATTTTTATTGTAGTACCAATTTGGTTTAAAAATACTAGTTATTTTGCATTTAAAATTATAATTAAAAATCTATTATATCTTTTATATATGTTGAGTAAAAATTATTAACAAACATTGCATTATATAAGCTATATTAGCTGAACAGATCTACATTCAGATAGTTAGGAAGGGATCTGTTTCACATACTAATAAAAACAAAACAAAAAACAGTCAGTGGTATTTCGCACTTACTTCACGGTATTCATAACAATACAGTTGTATTACATTCTGAACATAACCATAACATTTAAGTGTCTGACTACGACCCACACACACACAAGCAGCTGGTGTTAATGCAGTTCAGCTCAGTTTTTCTCATTGTTAACATCAGCACTAGCTCTCAGTGTGAGCGTGTGTGTTCTCAGTGTGTACTAGCGGAAGTGCGCAGTGATTCTGCATGGATGGTGAAAGAAAGCTCAGCGGATCTGACGAGCTCCTCTGAACGCTTACGTCACAGTTCTCCACTGATCATCAGCTTTAGCCATGAGTGACTAAATATTTCACTAAACGTGAAGTATAATGGGTCACTAGTCCGTCCTGCTTTAAAACACGAGCGACATAAAACTGTGGTTTCCATTTGTTCAAATTAAAAGTCTTAATCAAATCTCAAAATGTCACTTTTGGTGGGTTATACATGCCATCAAGTCAGCCCTCACTGGCAACCTTGGTTAATAATTTAGTGGGTCAGATGTGGAAAAAACTCACATGTCACCTAGAATAATTTTCATGTTGCTTACGGCCGTAAAATGATTATTATATAAATTTAATGGAATAGTTCACCCAAAAATGGAGATTTGCTGACAATTTACTCACTGTCAGGCCATCCAAGATGTAGATGAGTATGTTTATTGGAACAGATTTGGAGAAATGTAGCATTACATCACTTGCTCACCAATGGATGCTC